TCGATAATATATAAAGGTATAAAACGTGTTCCTTTTAAAGTTACGAGTAACTTTTTTTAAAATTAAAATATAAACTCTCGTAAGTAATAAAGTAAGTTAACGTTATAAATATACGAAGGGTGGGTAAAAAGGTTTTTAATAATACGTCGAATATTTTTATTATTAATATTAACTCGAACGATTTAAAAAACGAGGTTATTAATAAGTAAGACCGTAATATTAAAGATTATATTAAACGTCTTTTTTCTTTAATTTAAAAATAAAAAGTATAATAAAATATAAGGTTTATTAACGGTTTAAATATACTTTTACGTTCTTTTATACGGTTAATCGACGATATCGATAGTTTATAAAGACGGTATACGATACTTCGTACTTAAAATATACGTAAACATTTTTTTAACGATATTTTACCGTTTACTTATAAATAAAAACTTTAGTAATATAAATAATAAGTAGTTAGTAATATAATAATAATTCTTTTACTTTAAATACTTATAACTTTATAAAGATATAATAATAAATATTATAATAAAAACGTTTTTTTAACTTTAAAATATATAAAAAAAATACTAAGTACGGTTAAAATAATAAAAGGTAATATTATAATATTAAAAAAGTATAATTTTAATTTAAAATTATTATACTTTAATTACCACACCACTTTTATAAAAAAAAATCGGAAAAAATAAAAAAGGGTATTAAAAAACAACACGTAATTAATATATCTATAATATAAAAATAATTTTCTTCTACTTAATATAAAACGTGGTCATTTTAACGATATTCTTCGCGATACATTTTTACAGCCTCACTTTTTTGACGCGCGGGTAATCGCTCGCGTTCCTGGCGGATTGATCACATAACCTATTTTAGTCACTTTTGTCACATGATCCGAGTTTTTTGTTGTACGATTATGGGACGTCCACTGCACGACTACACCTGTAGCTTGGCCGCCAATTGGCTAGCCGACCACCAGAACATATCAATTGCCTCTCCGTCGCGACTTACAATACATGGTGCGTACTGCGCCCGGGACTCTCACATGCTCACATCTACGGCCATTCGGCGCTTCGAGACTAGTTGAGTGCGAGACTCTGCCAAATTCAAGAATGCGATCTGGACACCACCTCCGTTAATAGCCTTGTTCGCCCATCCCCTCGGAAGCGGCCTGTCAAGTTCTCACACATCGCTCAAAGCTGGAGCGGACGAAATTTCTCAGCTATGGACGAGGACGACCGTGGTGAGCAAGATGACGTGTTGCGCTCCTATTGACGTCTTTCCATCTCTGCCTTTCTGCTAACCATTCATGTCACGGGGCAGACTCCAATGCCTTTTCAGAAAACGACCAAGACGAGGTCATGGAGGACGTAGCCGAACCAGAGGTCGATCCCGAACCCGGCAATGATGCTGACGAAGACGAGGAAGAAGCGGACGATGATGACGATGTCGAGCCGGAAGCTGTGGCCGATGCAAGACGCGGCCGCGAACCCTCTCGTGTCCTACGCACGACAGGCCCTGGTGCGGATAGGACCGACTCTGGTGATGGTTCTGTACCGGATCATAAAACAAATATGAGCGGCAATGCAGCTGCGGATGGCACTGCTGTCGATTCCGCCGAGACAATGGCTGCAACGGCGTCTGGTCCGCCCCTCGCCGACGCCATGCGCCTGCGGATCCGCCCGGAAGCTCTGGCTGCTCGAATCTACGACATTGTTCCTACCATGGCCGCTCCACAAGCCACGAGCATCAATGCTCTGGCTGTTACTCCGGATCTCCGCTACTGGATGACGGGAGGGTCGGACGGCTACATCCGAAAGTACGACGGCCCCGGCACAATCAACGGCCGGCAACTACTTACTGTAGCTCAGCGCCACCCCTTTGTTGACAGTGTTGTCAAGGCTGGCATCTTAATGTCGTACTGGGAGAACGAAGAACCGCCAAGCGCATCCGCGCGTGGCGCAGACGAACACATGCTGTCACCCGTGTATTCGCTTGCTGTCCATTCCCGGGCCCTCTGGCTGCTCGCGGGCACGGAAGGCGGAGGCATCAACCTCCAGAGCGTGCGGCACGACGAAGGCAAGCGCATAACATGTCTTCAGCGTCACACCAACGCCGTCAGCGTCCTGCAGCTCGCCCCGGACGAGAAGAGCGTGCTCAGTGGAAGTTGGGACAAGACCATTCTTGACTGGGACTTGAACGACGGCCAAATTCGCCGTCAATACGACGGTAGTAGCGGCCAGATATCGGCAATCGAGCTACGCCCAGCCAGTGGTGCGCCGATCCCGGCCCAGGGCTCCGACGAAGAACACGTTAAAGACGCCGACTTGACTTTGACAAGCTCCAACAACAAGCCTCTTCCGAATGGCGTCGCCATTGGCGGCCCCGCTACGGGTTTGAATGCTGTGGCTGGTGGCGACGTATCTGCTAGCGGAGCGTCTGCGACCATCAGCGGTGACGAGCCCTTACCTGATCATGAGTCTTTGTTTGGCAGTCCTGGGGGTTCCTTGTTTGGAGGCAGCGACGCAATGGGGGCAAATCCTTTCGGGGATGATGACATGGGCATTGCACCCGGTTCCGCCACAATCGGGGACGAAGATGCCGGCGACTTTTCGCAAGATGTTGCTATGGCTCTTGACACTGATGCGCCGGCAGTGGATTCCATTGCAGTACCAGGAACGTTATCCGCCCCGTCGTCGCCAAAAGATGGCTCAGACACCAAGGCCGCCGCCACTGGGGATGAGAGCATGGCGGAGGCAGGTCCGTCAGCATCCAAGTCTGCTCTACCGGCTGACGATACCGAGAGGTCCGCTGAAAAACAAGCAGCCGGTGCGGACTTGGCGTCTGGTCCCGCCCACACGGCGACCCCGGTTCCTGAGACAGTCGTTGGGGATACGGGTGCGGCGAGCAGTAACACGGCATCCCTTTCCCAGCAGCAGCAGCAGCAGCAGCTGGATCAGGAGCTCCAGCAATCAGCTGAGACGCAGCTTCGAGAGGCCAGTGACGCTCAGGCGAATACGACTGCGGTTGGAGGGGATCCAGCTAGTCGTCAAATAGCCTCACCCGGAAACCAAGAGACCCATGTGCCGTCCGCTGCTGTGTACACATCGCAAGGAGCGCCTCCCCACTTTGACCCTTCACAAGTCTCCGACAACACGTTTTTCTCTGCTAGCATCGACGGCCCTATTCGAATTTGGGATCGCCGACAAAAGCACCCCGTTGCTCGCATTGGAAATAGGCCTGGTGTACCACCATGGTGCATGGGCGCCTGCTGGAGCCCGGATGGTAACCGCATCTATGCCGGGCGACGGAATGGTACCGTGGAGGAATTCGATATCCACAAGGCCAAGGCAGGTTGGCAGCCTGAACGAGCACTCAGGTTTCCTGCCGGGAGTGGACCAGTCAGTGCCGTGAGAGCCATGGCAAACGGGCGCCACCTTGTTTGGTATGCCACCTTTTCCTTCCCCTATTTTTTTGGTAGTTCTTTGCTAATTCTATGCCCAACTATAGTGCCTCACACGATATCCTCCGCCTGTACGATATCCAAGACTCATCTGCACTGCCTCACTCGCACGTTCCATTTCTTATTATACCCGGCCCACCCCGAGCCGGCGTGATCTCCCACCTCTACATTGATCAAACATCGCGGTTCATGATTTCCACAGCAGGGACACGGGGATGGGAGGGCACAAGCACAGAAGCGCTTATTGGCTACGAAATCAACTCGATCGTGAAATAAGGCCACCTGGACCTCTATCTACGAGGACCAAGGTTGACATATGGGAACCCTTTAATTTCTTATTTTTGTTTTTATTGAGGACCCGCTGCACAGAATTCTTTGCTCAAGGAATTAACTCCGCGCTCGTGGTGCACCGTCACTTCGACCATTCTCTGACAACCTGGGCTACACTTTGCATTCGACACTGGTAAACCTTAATAAATCTTAATGGCGGACACGGACCGGTTTAACGGCGTTTTCATTTTCAGCTTTCCAATCGGGATGAGCTTGGAAGCTCGTCCAAAACAAACATCCAGGTAATGATTGACTCCGACTTTTGTTCATCGCCTCCATATACAGGTTGTCTCCCTATGGGATTACCAAGCTCTCTAAAAAGGTGTTAATTATCCAAAAGTCTCTGTGAAATAAGAAATACATGCGGTGAGCATACGCTGTTTCATATTCTTCCACTGCTCCTCCTATGATGAGCTATGATAATAAGTGGTGTACAAGTGTGTAACAAAAAGGTGGCACATAAGGTTGATAACTTGTCAACATTGTCTATCAACTACTACTCCTGGTCACCGTAGTACCTTTGCCTAAGCGTGACAATCGCCGGATGTTAATGCAATATACCGCGCCTTCTAATTGTTGCAGGATGTCGGCGACGCATCGCCTCTCAGGGTCGCCAGATCTGAAGACTGCATTACCGTTTCACTCCGGTCTGAAACAGTACGTCTGCCTATATGAAGTAGTAGAAGAAGCTCTGGCCGGTACGCGATGAGGGGGCAAGGTCCGGTAACCATTCTTGCACACAGTACCCAGTTGGTGCGAGCTTTCTTGGGTGCTCACAAACACGACTGGTCCGCTGACATGATTGCTCTCTGTCAGCGTCGAAGGAAAGACGGCACCCTGCGGTGATTCCACACACGTCCAATCGTCACCATGGCCAAACCGCGTCTCCCTAGTAAAGTCAGGATGGGGGAAGGAGACGTCGCCCGTCGAGGTTGTGCTACTGATCCTGCTGCACAACGTACTCGGTCGTGTGTCCGAAGAAACCTGCGAGCAATTGACGAAACCCTGCAGAGAATCGCTGCGGTTTCTTGCAGCCTCGGTCTCCACGAGCAGCGCTCGATCAGCGCCAACATCTCCCAATGCCAACAGTTCACCACCAGTCGATTCCGGTCCCTATTCAGTTAACCGATCGGGTGCGCTGCCTGCATTGCCTTTCCAAAGTCCATAAAATCCTTCACAGTTCTTCCACATCTTTATGGTTCCATCTTCAGAGCCGGTCGCATACAGTCTCCCATCCGGCGAGAATGCGATTGACCAGACCGGGCCGTGGTGGCCCTTCAAAACGTCTGGACGAGTCAGTCACTCCACGGTCAATCAAGCCTGTTTGCGGGACACAAGTTCAGCCACCAATCCTTTATACGCACCAATTTCGCTGCCATCGTCCCAGGAATATACTCGGACCCATGTGCCCGGTTCCTCGCCAACAGCAAATTTTCGCCCTTTGAGATCAAGGCCGACGCTGGCCACGCCGTGCGATAACTCAAACGATTTTGTTCGTTTGTCAAACTGGTCCCCTTCCCAGAAATATACCGTCTTTCCGGCAGCGACAGCAAGCACCGGATTGCCGCCACCAATGTCTTTATGGTCACTATAGCCAGGGGCCAAAGCAACGACTTCGCATGACTTAATCTCGCCGTCCAAGGTCTCCTCGTGGAAACAGCTTACAGTGGGAATATCAAACCAACGCAAGGTGTTCCCAGATGCCGTCACCAGAGTCGTAGGAACATTTGTCCATACAATGAATTTGATGGAGTCTTTGTGCACGCCAGCACCGATTTCAAAAGCAGACGAAGCGTCCAGAGTGACAGTCTCTATTGGCGTGTTGGACGGCGAGCTGGGGTGAGGCCGCTCCTTTGCTAAATCGAAGATACGAAGCTCTTTTTTTAAACCGCCGGTAGCTAGCAAGTCGGCATTATGGGGAGCGAAAGCGATGGAACGTACAATGCCATTGTGTATGATATCATACAGCAACTCCCCGGTGTGCGTGTCCCAAACCTTCCTTCTTGCTGTTAGTCACAAGCAGGTCGCCAACTACGGCAAAAGCTCCCAAAACACAGCTGCCAAACTTACGCTGTGTAATCACCTGAGCCGGTAGCCGCCGTGGAGGCATCGTGGCTTAGCTTTGCTTGCCAGACGGCACCCTTGTGGCCAATAAACGTCCCTATCCTGTTTCTTGTCAGCGCAGTAGCGGAGAGGAATACTGTTGACGGAGAATATACCAGTCACCAGTCTTGCCATCGCGCAGCATAGGGTTTCCATCTGGTAGTGAGGTGGTCAGCACAAGAAACATGCAGGAAAAAATGCAGTTATGTCTTGACGCCGGGACAGAGTATCAACAGCCGGTAATAAAGTACCTTTGCAGGCAGAAATCATGTAGTAGTCGTCGTCTTTTGTCATGGACGAAAAACTAATGTGAGGCACCGGTCGCGAGTGCCCATGGCAGGTAAGTGGTACATATTGGCGGGACTCCGAGGTGCTGCCCGACATGATTAGTGCCGGATGTCGTTGGAGAGCGGTTTAGGCGGACAAGATGGCAAAAACTTCGAATACTGTATGTAGCTTTCGAAGCGAGAAGTGAAGGGAGGTCGGGAAGTTTGGCCTTGTTGGCAAAAGGGGGGGGAGGGGGGGGGGACAGTTTGTGTCAGTGAAGAAGGCGCGAACAGCTCTTGCAATGTGCCCTCCCAAAGTGCGACAGGGGCAACAACCCAAAAAATACCCCAGATCAAAGGAACAACTCGTCGCGTGGGTCAGACGGAGCGAGGGTCACGGGACATAGCATGTGACTAGAGCACGTGACAACATATTTCAGGGGCTACGAGGAAAAATCCCAGAAGTGAGGCAATCATGGAGTTAGGCATAGATTCACACACATACACAATAATGTGTGCGTTTTTGGCCATACACTAGATTCGACAAAAAGGTAACGACAGGGTTGGGGCTCGTTACGGCCGCATCAAATGCAGTTACAAAGTTCATGTCACGTGGCGTTATCAACATTCCACAATTGTGATGCAATCTCCCTTTTTGTTTACCTTGACCTGAAGCACTTTATTTTCTAATGAAAAGCTGTAGTCGTCTTATCTTGTCCTCGTTGCCATTACACCCAAATGTATCGTTGTATGTCCCAAACAAAAAAAACAGTCGCCGTATTTGTCGTCGTCTATAATGCTGTCTATGTCGGTCTATGTTGTCCAAACAGTGTCGTGAGCATCGCTCCACCTAGTCTCCCACATCTATTATTACTCCGTACGGGAAAAGGTCGTACACCCATCGTAGATTGCATGGCCGTCAGCCCTCCTAGTCGATGTACTTGGGCAGCGTCTTGAGGATGCCGTCCTTCTGGATGGCTTCCAGGGCTGCTGTCAGCTCCTTGATAAAGCGCTCGTCGTTCCGCAGGTCGTCACCGAACAGCGAGCCGATGCTGAGCAGCGCGCGCGGGTCCGCGCCGCCCTCGCGCGCCTTCGCCTGCAGCTCCTCGCGCATGGGGTCGTCGACTTGGAACGTCTTGCCGTCGTCGCTGACGCCGTTGATGTAGTGGAACCAAGCGGCCACCACAAAGCACAGGCGCCGGAACGGCCCCCTCACCCAGATCGCCTCGGCAATGGAAGGCATGATGAACTTGGGGATCTTGCCGGAGCCGCCCAGGCAGATGCGCGGCAGCTGGTCCATAATGGTCGGGTTCTCGAACCGCTCAATGAGTGTGCGGGAATAGGCGTCAATGTCGACGCCGTCAATTGCTGGAAGCAGCGGCTTGACCTCCTCCTGCATCATCTGCCAGACAAACTTGTGGAAGTCCGGATGGTTCATGACCTCGTGCACGTAGCGGAAGCCGGCCAGCTGGCCCGGGTAGCCGAGCGCCGAGTGGCTGCCGTTGAGCAGCCGCAGCTTGTGCTTCTCAAACTGCTCGACATCCAGCACGTCCGCGACCACCTGCACGCCGACCTTTTCAAACGGCGGGCGCCCGTCGCTGAAGCGGTCCTCAATGACCCACTGCATAAACGGCTCCGTGACGACGGGCCACGCGTCCTCGACGCCAAACGTCTCGGCCAGCGCCACCTTGTCGGCGGCGGCCGTCTGCGGGGTGATGCGGTCGACCATGGAGTTGGGGAAGGCAACGCGGTCGGCGATCCAGGCCGCCACATCGGCGTCGCCGCGCAGGCGCGCAAACGTCTCGAGCATCGACCGCGTGATGCTGCCGTTGCGGTGCATGTTGTCGCAGGACAGCACGGTAAAGGGCTTGAGCCCGGCCGCGCGCCGCCGCACCAGCGCCGCGTACAGGAACCCAAACGTCGTGATGGGCGCGTCGGCGTGCGCCGGGTCGAGGTCGTACTGGATCGCTGGGTCGTCGCTCTGCAGCTCGTGCGTGTGCTCGTTGTAGTAGTAGCCGCTCTCGGTGATGGTCAGCGACACAATGTGCGTGTCCGGGTGGGCCATCTTGGCCACGACGGCCTCGCGATTGTCGGGCGCAAACAGGAAGTCCTGGATGCTGCCAATGACGTGGGCGGTGCTGCCCTTGGCGGATCGCTCAACAACCGTGTAGAGGTGGTCCTGGCCGCCGAGGGCGTCCCGCATACTGGTGTCGTGCGGCTGCAGGCCGACGCCGCAGATGGCGTAGTCGGTCAGGCCATGCTTCTGCATCAGCTCGTTCATGTAGTAGGCAAAGTGCGCGCGGTGGAAACCGCCCACGCCAATGTGCACGATGCCCTGCTTGACGCTGCCGCCGCGGGCGTAGGTCGGCACCGTCAGCGGCGCGGCCGTGGCCTCGGCAAGACGCTGCAGGTTTGCGTCACTAAGCTTGAGCGGAGCCATTGGTAAGATGGTGAGATGAGAAGAGACGAGGAGACGAGGAGACGAGGAGAGAGGAGAGAAACGAAAAATGTGAGCAAACGAGTGTGTACAGAGCAGCTGTCCCAAAACAAAAGCTCGTCCGAACAACGGCGAAAGGTTTTAAATAAGTCCTTTCGGATGTGGATTGGGACTGGGATTGGGATTGTCGGTCAGGTGCACAGTTACCCCCCACGTTCACAGAATCGGAAATTAAGAAATGACAAGACAAATAATGGGAAAGAGGATTTCAAAAGGAAGAAGAGAAGGGCGAGGACAGGCAGCTCTTTCCCTCTCTTCCCCCGTTTATGCTCGACCAATTCCCTCGTCACGTGGAATATAAAGAATGTGCAGGAGGCGAACAAAAAAGAATGAGCAAGTGCTAACGGAGCGGGCGCAGGAAGGTTCTGCAAGGGCGGGCAAGTGCGAACCAGCGCGAATTGGTGGTACACGGACTACGCGGAGGAGGCAAGTGTCAACGCAAGGAACGACCTGGAAAGTACGCTCCGCAACGGGGGTATTTCGCGCGGACGGTGTGCAAGTGGGTCCGATTTGCTGCCTTTTTACACACCACCACCACACCGCCGCAAATCCGAATCCGTTCCCCTCCAAAATTCTATTCTTGTCTGTGCTCCTCTGGCCAGACTGCGGAACTCCCCTTTTCTGCTCCACCGCTGGCGGTCTCGATGCCGGTCCAGTCAGCTCTCGATCTTTGCTCGGCAACGGTAGCCGCGCCCGTTCCAGGGCCCCCTGTCTGTTCTTCTATTTTGATAGGCAGATGACCTCGATGTCGGTCTGACAAAACTGCATCCCATAATCGTTTTGGCCGTTCTCGGCCGTCCTACACGGCAAAGACGTCTCTCATACGGCCTCCCCCGCCTTTGTCTACTCCATCACAGCGTGCCATCTGACAGGTACTGGCTCGTGATAAAAAGTCAGGGGCACGGGAAGCAGGGGAAGCACGGGAGGCTGTTGTGACTAAGTGGCTCCGGGATACGGTGTACCTGGCTATGCTCGTTTCTCGTCTAGTTACGAACAAGTTAATTGACGAGCGTCCACCACTCGCCTGCTTCTTTTAGTGTTGTTTCGTCGTCCGCTACACCGAAACGACGCTCACCTTGTCTGCCGTGTCTGCCAAGCCGGCCCCAATTGGCTTCTGAAGTCGTTGTATTTTATCCAGTATTTTCAAGGGTCTTGTCTTCAGTCGCAAAAATGCTCACAGTGTATACCATCACATTTTCGTTTCGTCCGTGACATTTGTTCGCGAGGTGCATAGGCCGTAGAGGTGCAAAGGCCGTCGAGGTCGCAGTCACGTGACATGAGCTTTGGATCATGTTGAATGGCTCTTGCCCTCGACCACTTTCACACTACATCGCCAAGTAACTACATCCGAAACAACAACTATCCACTCTTTTTCTCCTGACGCACAGCACGACCGCCCATGGCGAACAGGCATGGACGTTGACGTCACTCCAGACAATGCTCCGGCAAGTGCCGCGGGCACCCTGGCCAGGCCTACGGCTCCGGCGCTGCCCATCCCAAAGCAGCCCATGGCGTCTGTAGAGCATCCAGCTTTGCTCACAAGTCTGCAGCGCGGCATCGACAGCTTTGCCGGTCGTGCGGACTACGGCGACATCGTGGAACCGTCAGGACCCCAATCGTCCGTCGCTGTCTTCTTGCGTCACGACGACCCAGCATCCGGCGGCCTGTCGTCGCATTGCGCGGCCACCCACAACGTGGTGCTGGCTGTGCATGTCCCCAAACGGACGGGCATGCGGCGAAAGCGTGGCACCGACAACGCGTGGGAGCGCGACCCAGAAGCGGCCAGAGGAAGCTCGGCATCGCATGGCCATCCACCCGGAGACAGAATGGGAGACCGCGATGCACGGCAACTACGACGGAAACTGCAAGAAACGGCAGGACTATACCGCACCGATGTGGTCGGCGTCGTTAAGCACACCCACCGGTACCGGGGCCTGGTGGACTTTCAGCAGTCGACACACGACTCGGCGTTCGTGACCAAGTTTACCGAGGACGTGCTGCCCGGGGATTGTAAGCCATTGCCCCGCTGCCCTCTCCTCGCCCACCTCTCTTTTCTTTATTGGCATCCGCTGACCAGTAGTGTCCAAACTGCGCAACTTCAAGCTGACGCCCGGTGTGGCTACGGCCCCGGGTATTGATTTGCCGCCACCACCCTTTTTCACATCGCAGACGCTACCCTTTTCCTACTCGTACTCGCAGAACCCGTTTGTGCGTGAGGTCGTGTCGGGCCACGACGGCGCCGTCCGGCTCGTCAACTCGACCGCCGCCAACTCCGTTGCCGGCTACTTGCTCGCGTTTGACGAAGTGCCGGTACCCACAGCGCCACCGCCGGGTCTCCCGCCCATTGTGGGCCGCCGCCGCCAGGCCATCCTCGAAGCCATGCGGCGCGCCGTGGCCGAGCGGCCCGTGTGGACGCGCCGCGCGCTGGTCAACCACATGAGCGCGGCCTTGGGTCTGCCCTTTACGGAGAACCGCCTCAAACGGTATTTTGCCCACTGCTGCTACCAGTTCAAGGGCGGACCGTGGCGGGATACGCTCGTTCGCTACGGCGTCGACCCACGCACGGACCCGTCGTACCGGCAGTACCAGACGCTGCTGTTCAAACTACACCGGCACATAGAACGCAAGGATGGTTACTTTTGGCACAGTTTGGTTGAGGACGACGGGGCGACGGGCGAAGACTTGACGGCACCGTCGGGTGGTCCGTCCGCCGATGGTGGTCCTGGCGGACATATTCGAAAAGGCCGGCACATCACAACCCCCCTGCTCGCCGATCCGGCACCACCAAGCGGCAACGGTAAGGACACCAGGCCAAGCGGCGATCCGTCAAGAGTCTCCCCACACGCCGAAATCCCCGTCGCCCTCCGCAAGGACACGCACATATTCGACGGCCGCAACTACTGCGACGACGGCAAAATCTGGCAGGTCTGCGACTTGCACGACCCTATTCTCCGCCAGCTGCTTGCTGACGCGCCGTCACGCCCGACGTGCGAGCGTCTAGGGTCCGGCTGGTACCACCAAGGCACGTGGGCACAGGCCCGCGCCATTATGAAGATACGGCTGTTGGCCATCCGCTTTGGCCGCATTATCGACGACGCCCAGTTTGTGCCCACGCTGGCCGTGCCGCACCAGACTCCAAACTTTGGGGCCGTGCGGACGATCAAGGTCCCGGTGCCCAAAATAGAGCTGACATCCGAAGAGAACGCCGTGATTAGCATGCGCGTCTACCACGGGCGACCAAAGAAGCGGGTGCGGCAGAGTGGCGTGACATCCGTGACGCTGCCCATATTTACGGAGAAGCGAGGTGATGCGGCACCAGCGGCAGCGGTAGAGGGCGAGGGACAGGCGCCGAAACGGGCACGAAAGGACGACGTGCAAGGAATCGAAAACGACGCCGAGGACGACGATGACGTTGACGACGACGACGTTGAAGACATGGAAGACCTGGGCGACGATGACGAGGCTGACGAGGACGGTGGAGAAGACGAAGACGACGTCGAGGAAGAAGAGGACGAGGACGAGGACGAGGAAGACGAAGACGAAGATGAGGGCGTGACAGACAGGATCGCGATAAAGGAAGAGATTATCGACGACATGGACCGAAGCGGCCTCGATGTCTAGAGTGCAGGCGTCTGGGCATATGCATATGTACATATATTTGGTTTGTTTCGCGAAGGGTTACGGATAGTCTTTATGTCTATTGACTCTTTTATTGCTAAATTTTTATGCTGTTGTAAAAACACAAACAATAATAATACATCGATACGTTTTGCCAGCCGTGAAATTTGGTCGACTTTTTCCTGCTAAGTGGACATTTGATTCGCATCTGAACAAAGCTTCATTTTCGTTTCAATTCTCCTCGTCAGTTCTTCCCAGTTATCTATTTGACTGTTCAAATTTTACTTTCCTTCTCATCCACTACTCTTTGGCCAACGTGAGCCGTGGTCCATCGTTTCTGGCCTACCCCATTCCCTCGCCCACTTTCCTCACTTTTCATCCTCACGACATCGCTCTTTCCCGGCCTCGTCAACTCCCAACGCAGTTTCCAGTTCCTGTTTTATTTTTATTTTTTGACCTCCCCTGCTCTTTCCTGTTCGTCACCATTCGTGTCCCCGACGCCGGCTGTATAAATATTCGCTTCGCCCCTTTTCTTTCGCGTTGACTGGCCGTTCCTTCTTGAAATGTGCAAACTTTCTCACGGCCAAACCCACTAACACCGCCGCAAGCCGGCGCCATATCAGTTCCTGTTACCCCTTTTTTACGTCACCAAAAGTACAAAGGGCACGATACACACCCAAAACACACCAAAAGCACACCAAAAGCACACCAAGGACCATTCCAAAACGGCCAGACACAGTGCACAACAAGGCGAGCGTCTTGGCGCTAAGCCGAACACACTAGACGAAAGTTGAGCAAAGAGGGAAGGTGCGGACCAGAGCTGCAGCGCTCTTGCACTTACACGACAGCCATTTAAATGTCTTCCTTTTGGCCTTTTGTCATTTTTACAATGCGGCCAATTCTTCTCGCTTTTGCTGATATAGAACTTCAGCATCTGTCGCCAACTATCATCGGATTTTTCCTAGATTTTTTCTGTTTCGATTTTTACAGCTTCGTTTTATTGTCTTTCCATCCCTTGTGCTCAAGTCGCCTTGTATCTTTCTTGATCCACTGACTACAGTATTCCCATCTCTCATCACTCTTTATCGTCATTGCTCTCCCTCTGACATTATCCCTCCCTGCGCCCCCCTCTTCTTCACACGCAGAGAGTCGCAACGATGTCGGCCGCCAGCCCGGCCTCGGCACCTGGCCGCTCGGTGCCCGGACATCCGCTTACGATTCCTGTCACGACTCCATCTGCTACTTCATCCATAGCAGCAGATGCAGAGGCTGCCACACCCCCCTCTCCCTTTCCCGAGTCTCGCGTGCTCATCATCATGACTGGCGGCACAATCTGCATGCGCCCATCACCCGACGGCCTCGTGCCGATGGACGGCTTCCTCGAGCACGCCATGGCGCCGCGGCCGAGCTTCAACGACCCGGCCCCGCCCACGACGCTCACAGCCTACAAGGACGGCCAGCGCCTCGAGTTGCCGTCTTTGCGCACGCCCGTCAGCGCCTACTCGCGGCACATCCGCTACAGCATCTTGGAGTTTACGCCGCTGCTCGACTCGAGCTCCATCTCGTCGGCCGGCTGGGCCGAGATCGCGCAGGCCGTCAGGGACAACTACCACCTGTTTGACGGATTCGTGGTGCTGCACGGCACCGACTCGCTGGCCTACACGGCGTCGGCGCTGTCGTTTATGATGTCGGACCTGGGCAAGCCGGTCATCCTGACAGGGTCGCAGGCGTCCATTTTTGCGCTGCAGAGCGACGCCGTCGACAACCTGCTGGGGTCGCTGATCATTGCGGGCACGTTCGTCGTGCCCGAGGTGTGTCTCTTCTTCCACCACACGCTGTTCCGCGGCAACCGCACCACGAAAGTGTCCGCCTCGTCCTTTGAGGCGTTTGCCAGCCCCAACGCCGCGCCGCTGGCCCGCGTGACGAGCCTCGGCGTCGACGTGGCCTGGTCGCTTGTGCGCCGGCCGACACGCATCGCCGAGTTCCGCATCAAGACCTACCTCGACACCGCGCACGTGGCCTGCTTCCGCATCTTCCCAGGCATTGTGCCAGAGATGCTGGACTCGGTGCTGCGCGTTGCGAACCTACGCGGCCTGATTTTGGAGACGTTCGGCATGGGCAACGCCCCCGGCGGCGTCGACGGCAGCCTAACACGCGTCATCCGCGATGCCGTCGCCCGCGGCATCATCGTTGTCAACGTCAGTCAGTGCACCAACGGGTTTGTCAGCCCGTTGTATGCGCCCGCGACGGCGCTCGGCCGCGCCGGCGTGGTGTTTGGGCACGACTTGACAACCGAGGCGGCGCTCACCAAGCTGTCGTACCTGCTGGCCCTCGATGGCCTCAGCTACGCCGACATCCAGGAACGCATGGCCCGTTCGCTGTGCGGCGAGATGACCGAGCTGACGTCGCCCGTGTTTTCGCATCCGGCCGGTGCTCTTGGAGACTCACCCTCGGTCGGGCCGGCCCATCTGGCCGGTCTCACCAGCCTGGCCAGCCTGGCGCACCCCATCGAGCCCGCTGTCACTCCGACGCCGTCTGCTGCCGGCGCCCCACGCGCACTTGCTGCCGACGGCGCCCTGCGCCCCCTCACGCCCATCGAGTCCGCCTTCACCGCCCTCGGCTACGCCATCCGCAACGGGGATCTGGCTGCCGTGCGGGCCGTCCTCAGCGGCGGCGCCACGACCCACTCGCTTGCGATGCTCAGCACGGCCGACTATGCCGGCAACACGGCCGTCCACCTGGCCGCCGTCGGCCCCAACACGGACGTCCTGCGCGAGCTGCTGATGCACGGCGCCAGCGTGCACGTGCGCAACCGCGGCAACAACACGCCGCTGTTTCTGGCCGAGAAGCGCGGACACGCCGGCAATGTTAAGCTGCTGCGCGACGCGGGCGCGCATCTCTGGGGACCGGAGGCAGAGGGAGAGGGCACTGCGGGCGCAGAAAGCAATGGAGCCGAGGCCGTCAAGGAGGACGAGGTCGAGGCATAGGCCGAGTGGAGACTACGACGAAATACAAGGTGGGATACGAGCTCGACGCAGTAATACTAGACGTGCAGACAAGCGGATAGACAACGAACGACCTTTCATGACAACCCATTTGCACGGAGTGACAGAAGAAACGACAGGCGGCAGAGGTCTTAACACACTGTCCAAGCGTCAGATTAATTCGCCGCTCGCAAGGCACTAATGCACTGGCCTGCCACCTAAAACCAAGTACCGGGAGCGCTATTGCCCGCTGTAAACGGGCGGCGCTGGCTGTGCGGCACAGTGGGGCCCAGAGTTTTAATGGGATTTTGCTGTGGAGGCACAAAAGAGGTCACCTACGAAATAGGATGAACGACAACGAAACGAGGAAAGAGCCCCACTTTGAGGATTATGCTAGCAGGAGAGCTCTTTCCGCCAAGGCCAAGCTAAGTGGGAAGCTTCCAAATTGGGAGAATCGGCAACTTTTTTTTTAAATGGGAAAGAAAGAACAAAAGCAAAGACGAAAAAAAACACTCCGTCATTGATTGTTGATTACTTGCCTCTCTCAACGCAGTGACGCCTCGAATTCTGTTTATTTCTTCATTCTGTTACATACACCACATACTTGATCTTACCAATCCCTGCATCAATTTCTTCTTCACACACTCGCAATGGCGCCCACTGAACCTCCTGCCCAAGTGTCGTCGGTCACCTACTCGGAGCTGTCCGACATCGAGGCCGACTTTGACGACTTTAACGTCGAGCTGCGTACGTGACGACGAACAGTGTTGACGCTGTCTTTTATTTTCTGTCCTTCGTGCCTGTTCTAACTGCCCTTCCAGTCATCCAGCAGGCCGCCCGCGAGCGCACCCTCTACGAGCGCCGCGCCGAGATAGTCCGCCGCATCGCCGGTTTCTGGCCGCTCGTGTTTGAGCAGGCGCCGCCCGAGATCGACCAGTGCGTGCAGCCCTCTGACGCCGCCGTGATCCTGTCAGCCCTCGAGGAGATTGAGGTTGTGCGCTTCGAGATTGGCAGTCGTGGCGACGGACAGGACGGCCAGAGCGGCGACCCCCGCAGCGTCGCCATCCGCTTTACGTTTGGCGAGAACGACCTGTTTGAGGACCGCGTGCTCGAGAAGCGCTTCTGGCACCGCCGCGCGCCCGCCAAGGTCGGCGCCGACGGCAAGCCGTCCGGCAAGGACGCAGCGTCGGAGTCGTGGGCCGGCCTCGTCAGCGAGCCCGTCGCCATCAAGTGGAAAGAGGGCCGCGACCCTACCAACGGTCTGCTGGACCTGGCCGTCCAAGTGTGGAAGGAGGGCGCCTCGTCTTCATCGTCTTCTTCATCTGCTGCTGCAACGTCCGCGTCGAGCAAGGCCAGGGACGAGCTCAGTGCTCAGCTGAGCAAGACGGCGATTGGCGGCCTGAGCTTCTTCGCGTGGTTCGGCTACGTGGGCCGCCGCATCAGCGCCGAGGAAAGCGCGGCTGCGGTTGCCCAGGAGCGCGAGCAGCGTGCCGAGCGCAAGGCCAAACGGGCCAAGGGCGAGAAGGTGGGCGACGAGGACGAGGAAAAGGAGGACGACGAGAAGAACGACGAAAAGGACGACAAGGACGACGAGGAGTACGAGTACGAGATCTTCCCCGACGGCGACACTGTGGCTCTGGCTCTGGCCGAGGATCTGTGGCCCAATGCCATCAAGTACTTCCGCCAGGCCCAGGAGCAGGAGACCCTGAGCGACGCCGACTTCGAGGAGGACTATGACGACATTGCCGAGGACGACGACGAGGAGGACGAGGAGGAAGTCCCGCCGGCCAAGAAGCAGCGGACGTAGGTAAAGGGGGCTGGTGAAAGTGATTCGATACCAGCGAACGATACCAGACGAATTATTTTGGAGGAATTGTTTTGGAAAAGCGGACCTGCAAAAGGCCATTGGACTGAGTTGACTGCCCATAAGACATGGAATTGGCGAGAAGATCAACTGTACTATCAAAAGGTATCAAATATCACACGCATCGCTAGTCAGATGACATAAATAGTGAAAGTGCTGAGTTGCACTCTACCCAGAGAAACTAAAAGTGCTTGTCCACCATGCCAGCAATGCGCGTGTCAAATGCCGGCAGCGTCGCCTCGTCTCAGCGGCTTCTACTACGACGCCGACGGCTGCGGCTACGACTGCGGTCATGCCGGCGATCACGGTCCCGATCACGGTCACGGTCTCTGTCTCTGTCTCTGTCTCTGTCCCGGTCCCGGTCCCGGTCCCGATCTCGGTCTCTATCCCGATCTCTGTCGCGGCTGCGGCTCCGATCGCGGCGAGAGGTGTAACGGTCACGATCGCGATCGCGATCGCGGTCTCGATCCCGGAAATCACGGCGAGGACTGCGGCTGCGCGAACGGCTGCCACCACGGTCATCACGAGAACGATAATCCCGCGAGTCGCGTCGGTCGTCCCGGTCCCGGCCACGATCCCGATCTCGATCCCGATCCCTATCCCTAACTCTATCCCTATCTCGTCGGTCGTGGACGGCACCTGCTCCCGAGACGGCACGGTCAATGTGGCGCCGCTCTTTCGGCACATACCGGTCGATCTCATCGGGCTCGTACTTGCGCTTAGCGTCTGGCGACCGGTCGCCTGCGCTGCGCTTGTCGTCGACTCCCGGCACAGGGAGGCCTTTTTCCCGTGCTTCGCGTTGCGCCGCCAAATAAGCCTTCGCCTCCTGCTCGCGCTTTTTTACCTCGCTGCGCTTCCACGCCTCCAGCTCTTCTTTGTCGAGAATACTCGGCGGACGCACAAGCGTTGACGACGCGCCCAGCGGCGTGCGACTGCGACTGCGACTGCGACGGTCGCGCGCTCTCGAGTCGCTAGCGCGTCCAGCCGTGGTGGTAGTGGTAGTGGTAGTGGCACCGGCGTTGGGTGCAGCCGTTGTCGTGCGCGTCCGCGACACAGACCGACTGCGGCGACGATCGACCGGCCGGCGCGACCTGCTCCTATCCCGGTACGCTCGCGGCCGGGACCGCTGCCGAGACCGCGAACGCCGTCGGGAGACATCTCGATCGTCCTGCCGTCTGGGTCGAGCCGACCGCGACCTACGCGATGCCAAGCGAGACCGAGACCGAGATCGCGACCGCGACCGCGACCGCGACCACGCCCGGCTCCTACCCCGAGGCTGGTCCCTGTCCCTGCGTCTCGTTCTCGAATCGCTGCGGCTCCGCTCGCGATCACGATCACGGTCACGATAGGTTTCTCTGCGACGGCGAGACGTGGATCTAGCCCGCCGAACCGATGCGTCCCCATCGTCTGCTTCTCTCTCCTTCTCCTTCTCCTTGTCTTTCGGCTGTGGGCTGGATTTGCGCAGTTCACGCCGCCGTGTTCGTGAACGGCTCCTATCGTCCCTCTCCTTCTCGCGGCGTGACTCGGACCGCTGGCCGCGCTTGCGATCGGGACTGCGACTGCGCCGATTCGTATCCCGGTCTCGAGCCGACAAGGAGACACTGCGAGGTCGTTTCCGGCTCGGGGCGGCGGCAGCCTCGTCCACAGGCGTTGCCTTTTCCTCCGGCTCTACCTCGGGCTCTTCCTTGGACTCTTCCTTAGGTGTGGCCTTGGGTGTGGCCTTGCTGGAAATGGGCGTGGCATCTCTCGGAGACATCTTTGGTGTAGCTTTGCGTGTGTCGAGAGAGTCTTTCGTAGTGTTCGTGTCTTCGTCCATGGTGATTTTTGCGTCGCTGGCAGACTCTTCTCCAGCTGCAGGAACGGCATCGAGATCCTTGGCGTCGTGTTGGATCTTGATAACCGGAACAGACTCCTTTCGACCGTCCGGCTTGCTCGTGATTTTAACTTCGAGTTTCATTGGTGCTGCAGGGGCAGTTTCAGCTGTGGCGGCCGCAGTTTTGGTCGGTAGTGGGGACGTTTGCCGTGGTGGCCGCTTGCTATCGGAAGCGGTCTTGGATGAAGACCCCCGCTTGGGGATTGGCTGAATGGCAGATGCGGGCATGCTCTTTCGCGGTGGCGGTGCCAGGGTCTCGTCCACTTCAAGCTCCGGCTGGCGTGCTGCCTGAGACGACTTGCTCTCACGCAGAAGGTCCAGCATCGCCAGTTCTTCCAGCCGCTGCAGCTCCTCGTCCGAAAGTTGTTTCTTGACCTCTTCGGGCTGCTCGCGGCCACCTTCGCGCCGGGTGTCGCGATCGCGCGAATCACGGTGGCGCCTGCTCTCTGGCGACCTGTCTCGGTCACGCCGGTCACGGTCCCAGTCGCGGCGGCGACTACGGTCGCGGCGGTCTCTGCTACGATCACGCCGGTCACGGCTCCGGTTGCGGCTTCGATCGCGACTGCGGCTCCGACTTCGATCGCGGCCTCTGTCACGATCTCTTTGCCGGCGCTCACGGTCTCGTTCCCGGTCACGTTCACGCTCTTCACGCTCGCGCTCCCGTTCCAGCTCCCGCTCGCGGCGACGCTCGTCTCTCTCGCGTTCCCGGCGCTCTTCCTTCTCGCGCTCTTCCTTGCGACGGGCCTCACGGGCCTCCCGCTCTTCTTCACGGCGTCTCGCCTCCTCCTTATCGCGAATCTCGCGCTCGAGGCGCCGTTTTTGCTCTTCGACTTCACGCAGCTCCTGGCGCACACGTTCCCGCTCGGCGCGGCGGGCGGCCGTGTCGGCAGCGTACTCTTCGTCTGTCTTGGAGCCGCGAGCCTGCTCCTCGTCGGCAGCAACATCACCGATCTCGGCACGGCGGATCTCGCGGATGTGGGCCTCAATGGCACTCGAGTCGATCAGGGCTTCGATGACGGACTGGGCCTGCTGGTAGATGCCGCCGCGGTCGAGAGCGCCGTCAATGAGAGCAGCCGCCTTGCGTCGGTCGATGGACAACAGCTGGGAAGGGTTGCGTTCGACCTCTTGGCCGGCGACCTCGAGGATGGATTTGGTGACCTGTTCTTCGTAGCCCTGCAGAGGTTAGTGACGTCCGTCAAAGAGAAATAAAGCAAAAGAAAGAAAGAAACCAACGTACACTCGCTTCAAATTTGTCCCATGCCTGCTTGCGGATGGTATCGTAACCGCCCTTCTTCTTGAACGTATGTGCAAGTCCTTCGATAGCAGACCGCACAGCAGACGACAGGGGCAGCTCAGACGCCTTGAAGGACCGGATATTGGCTGGCGGCACGGCCGCCGGGTCCAACGCCTTGCCGGCTACAGACGGTGCATCTGTGGCCGGTGGAGTCGACACTGCTTCGGCGTCTGCGGCCGTCGCTACAGCTGGCGGTGCCATGGCGTCCACGGCTGGCAGGCAGGCAGACAGGCAGACAGCACCAAAGGCCCCGGTGGATGTGTCGGGAGAAAAAAGGTCAAAAACGAGCCAAGAGCTCAAGACATGATGCTGAGTCGAGACCTCGGGGTGTATGAAGGCGGACTATGGCAACAGACGGCGCAAGCTGTAGGCCAATAAAAGGAGAGCCGCAATGCAAAATGACAACGGTTTGGGAGCGGCTGTGACGGGAGAAGCAAGCGACAATTGGTCCAAGTTTGTGCTTTTATACTCCAACGAGAAAAGTGTATCGAGTGACACTGAAGAGGATATTTTTCCGTCCGGAGGAAAGTGTTGTTCGTTTGTTGTCGTGGCTGTCGTACGGAGTGCAGGTGAGGAAGGAGCAGAGGGCTCAGCTTTGGGAAGAGCGACCCAGGCAAAATCACATCTGATCGCGTTCACGGTCGCGCTTGCTGCCGGGGTATTCTCGCTAGCCTAAATTGGACGTAGTGCATTTTGTCTCGAAATAAATTTAATGCAAACTATATTCGCAAATTCACGGCGGATTAACCGAAGTTCCGGAGCTGGCTGGAAGGAGGCTGTTGCCAGCGGGTCGTCCCCCTAGAACTCCCCAGAGCCAATGGAGACGGATGGGTTAAGCATCACCAAATTTTGCGCTTGTAACAAGCAGAAGCAGCGTCATCGACCCACGTCCCAACGGCCTCCGTCCAGCGTCTCCCGACTTAACGACGATACATCCACACGAACGGCACCCTCGGCCACCTCTACAAGATTTCAGTCTGTCGATTGGGCCTTTCCCGTCGGCGTCTCCTCCACATCGTCACCCCTCCATAAAACAGGCATCGAGTCAATTGAGCAACCATGGTGCATCGGCTTATTTTCTGGACTGGCTTCGGTAGGTGGACCGCCAGCAGTGGCATTGTTGGAAGCACAGGCGGCAAATTGACATACTGACTCTCCTAGGCGTCGTTGCGCGCGCGCTGCAGCTGAGCATTGAGATGCGGCCCCTCTTCCACAAGGGCTCGCTGTGGGCGTACCCCGTGTTTGGGGCGACGGGCGCGGGCTTCGGCTACTGGCTGCAGGGCGTGGACGACCGGCAGACGGCGGTGCTGGCGGCACGGAAAGAGGCGATTCTCGAGAAGCGGGCACGGCGGGCGGCAGAGCAGGCGGCTGCCACGGCATGAGGGAGGAGGAACGTGGCTACAATAAGAGACAGAGGAGGTGGGCAAGGAAAGCATTGTATATACAACACAGGCCCGAAGGCATGGAAGACACTGGGACGCCTGCATGCTGGACCTGTTTCTGACTGAGCGAACCAAATACAATATTCACATTGACTGCAATATCCAGGCCATATTCGGTGACGTGATTAAAGCTGCAGCGTCTGCTTTTTTGAATTTAAAGAAAAGTTGCCTGCAACGCCAGCTAAGATACATTTCGCCAGATTCTCAGATTGCCCGTCTACTAATATGTCGCTTGCCCCTTTTCTCTTCGTTTTCGTCCTACCACACTATTCCACCGCCCTACGCCCGACTCAATTTGGGTCTTCTCTCGTCCGCAGCACGAGGTTGATGGCGTGCGCCGGCACCATGCCGCTCGCCTCTTCGTACTCGCAAATCAGCATGCTGATGAGCGACGACGGCGTCGTGTCAAACAACAGACGGAAGGCATCGCCGTCGCAGCGGTCCGGGTCGATCTCGTTGTGGGCCAGGGCATCCGTGGCCACGCGGTCCCGGTCAAAGTTGACCGTCTCGCAGAGCGCAATGACGGTGGCGTTGACAGCGGACGCCGCGCTCGCCACGTCGCACGTGCCGGCGGGCGCCAGCAGGGCACCGTTGGCAAAGACGGCCTCGGCGCCCAGGAGGACGATGGAGCTGCGTGCGACGAGGCTGTCGATGCCGTCGAGCGAGGGGCAGTAGGTGACGTACGACGGGGCGGCCGCACGTGCACCGTCGGGCGACCGCCCGGCCGCCAGCGCTGCACGCTGCTGGAACGCCTTGGCCAGGGCCTGGCCCGGCGCCGGGTCGCTCGGGTCGTTGACGACAATCAGGTCGAAGCGCACGCCGTGGTCCCAAGCCTGCTCGAGGGCGGCACACACAAGACGCGGGCCGCCAAAGGTCAGCACGACGTCGCCGTCGTGGATCATGGACGCGGCTTCGCGGGCAATGCCGACGGCGGCGACAAAGATGCGCTCCTGGACGAAGCTGTCGATGGAGTCGCACAGCTCCTCGATGGCGTCGGCGTCGTCGGTGTCGAGGTCGAGCTGCGAGACGCGGGCCTTGAGCAGGCGGATGCCGTTGCCCATGGCGAAGCACATGGGGCGGCACTCTGTCAGGTACTCAATCTGCGGGTTGAGGACGTGCGAGACGAAATGGCGGGAGAAGGCGTTACCCGGCGGCGTCTGGTACGAGGCAATGACCTTTTTGAAGGCGACAAGCGTGGCCTCGAGCCGGGCCATGTTGTGGCGCAGGTCGAACGAGGCCATCTGCTGGCCGACGGCCAGGATGGCTGGGTGCACATCCCTGTGCGCCTGGGCGATGGTGATGCGCTTGGCCATCGGCAGGTGGCTGAAGCACTCGGGAATGCCGCTGCGGGCGTCCTTTTCGCGATCGGCGGGTGTGGCCACAGCTGCCGCTGCCTCTCCAGCCGGGCCGCCTGCGCCTGGTGCAGCCGATGCTGCCGATGCTGCCGATGCTGCCGATGCTGCTCCGGCAGCTGGTCGTGATGCGAGCGGGCCTGTGATCTTGCCGCCACCACCGCCGCCACCGCCTCCACTCTCAGCACTTGCGCCGCCCTTGCCCTTGCCTTGCTTCGGTTGGCTGCCGCTCTGGCTCGTCTGTCCTGCTGCTGCTGCTGCTGCCGCCGCCGGTGGGACCCCTCCTGCTGCCTCCTTGGCCGCGATAACGGCTGCTCTCCGCTTGGCCTTTTCAGCCTGCTTCTGTGCTTTCAACTCGGCACCTGTGAGTTTCTTTGGTGCTCCATCTGTTGACGATGATGCTGCTGCTCCTGCTCCTGCTGCTGTTGTTCCCGTCGGCTGTGTGTTCTTCTGTTTCTGTTGGGGCTTTGCAGTGCCCACGACCGCGTCCGGCGGCTGTGCTGTCGACATGCTTCAACGTGTGATTGTGTGATACGTTGCGACCTCTTGTTGAAAACTGTTGTCGTCTCGAATGTAGGGGTGATATCGCGGTGCTTTGGCGGGGCAGTAGCGTCGGGACAAGGTTAAGGACAACGGGAAAAGTGCGATGGTATGATCGCGTTGTCAAAGGGCTATCCTGCTCGAGTCGTCGCTGTCAGTTCAGACGCGCAGAGGCGGCGAAATTCGTCGTGTTGGAGCTGTTTGCGTTGTGTGGTTGTGTTGGCGAATTGAAGCCTGAGTCATTGGCCAGGCACATGAATGTAGCGCCTGCATTGAGAAAATAGTGCCCACTAAGACAAAAAAAAACATAAGAATTAAAAGCGAACGGATTTCACAGCCCCGCGCTTGGAAGGCGCGCCCAGTCCCCTAACCTGGCAGGCGCGCCCCACTGTACGCAGCACAAACTACAACTGCTGTTGTTACTATGCGAATAATCTCTGGAAGACCTTCGCTATTGCCTCAGAGGTAATTCGTATCAGCAACAACAAATACACAGAGTATTCTATTCAAACTGTCGCATGTGATGGAAACGCCTCATTTCGTATCGTACACGTACGCACTCTAGACTGTATAAATGCAGCACCCATATACATTGTTTGTCGTAATTCACTCCATAATGGTCCGCTGTCGCCCGTGCTTCTCCTTATTGCTCCCCTTTCGTCTTCGCCTTCTTGGTGGGATCCGGTCCTTTGAGGAAGAGCTTCATCATGCGCAGAATCACGCCCTCGGTCGGCTTCGTCTCCACCGTGCCCGGGACCTCGTCTATGGTCGCGCGGATCCGCCGCAGCACCTCCTCCGCCTCTTCGAGCGTCGCCCGGCGCTTGCCCGACTTCGCCGACTTGAACATGAGGCGGATCTCGACGTAGAGGCCCTTGTCCAAGAACTCACGCAGCTTGACCAGCCGAAAGCCCAGGTTGTGCAAGTCGATGGCCCAGTTGATCTCGAGCTCCTTTTTGCCCACCTTCTTCTTGCGCGCGGCCAGGCGCTCCTCGTCGGCGGCCTGGCGTTCGGCCTTGGTGTCGACAATCCGGCAGACCGGGAAGCGCCGCATGGCCTCCGCCAGCGCGGCCCGCCTCTCCCCCTCTGGCTGCAGAAAACCATTGTCGTATTCGTCGTTGTTGCTCTGCGGCATCGCTACCACGACCAAGGCATTATTCCGGCGGTCAATCCGCTGCAGCACATCTTCGGTGCGCTCGGGCAGCCCCAGTGTGCCGTCCTCCTGCGGCAGCAGCACGTGGCTAAAGGTGATCGCGTTGTTGCGCGGCATACGGGCCATCTTGGGCTTCACGAGCGGCGTGGCTGCCGCCGCTCGTGAATTTTGAAGTCCAAATGTCGTGTTGGGACGCTGGAAATGTGCAGGGTGCTCGCCAGAAGAGTCTTGTCCCCGGTACCCTGTGGGCCGTGGTCCATAGGGACGGGGACCGCCACCAGAGGGCCCACGGGGTTGTCCGTAGTGTGGACGAGGCGGGCCGGGACGCGGAGGGCCATGCCCGCGCGGCGGTCGTTCCGGCCGGCTCCGGTCGTAATTTGAATGTGCGCCTCGCCGCTGCTGGGGCACCAGCGTCTGGTTCGTTGCTGATCTGAAGCTGTAGCCGGCCACGAGAAGGGTTTGTCTTAGCCCGGTGCCCGTGCCTGTGCCTGTGTTCGTGCGCGAAGCAAAGGCCCGCGCGAGAGCCGTCGCAGGCGTGAGAAGACACACAGCACTCGTCATATCGGCGTGGCAAAACGAAATGTTGTTGTCCTGGGCCAGGAGAGGTTGGTCGATCGTTGTGCCAAGCCCAAAGCTTGCGATCTTTGTCAAAGGATTCCGCGTTTAGCCAATGAAACAGCTACAGCACCGTTTGGGCAGGCGAGACCTGTGGAGATGTGGAGTTTGATGACTAAGCTGCAGCTTGGCCACTACGAAATAGCTCCTCGCGCCCATCCGTTACCGCTAACCAAAACCTACTTGGCTGGCAATAGTTGACGACGTCCTCCTGTCCAAGTTGGGACAACTCTTCACATTTAACGCCCCACTGCCATGTCTCCCTTTGCCGGCTTCAGTCGCGCATTCTACGGCCACCCCGGCCGCTGGGCCGTTGGCACGGCCAAGACGCTCGCCTGCTGCCACCTCATCTGGACCTACGGCTACAGCGTCGGCCCGGCCTCGGGGCCCAGCATGCTGCCCACCTTTTCCGTGGCCGGTGACTGGCTGCTGGTGGCCAAGCGGTTCCGTGGCGGGCGCGATGTGCGTGTGGGCGACCTCGTGGTCTACCGGATCCCCGTCGAGCCGGCCGACGAGGCCGTCAAGCGCGTCATGGGCATGCCGGGGGACTATGTGCTGGTGAACTCGCCCGAGGGCCAGAGCGATTTGATGATTCAGGTACGCCGCCTTCCTTTGTCGAATGATGTATTTGCGATTCGGTCTTAACACATGCAGGTCCCGCAAGGGCATTGCTTCCTTGTCGGCGACAACCTGCCGGCATCGCGGGATTCCCGCACATTTGGCCCCGTCCCCCTGGCCCTCGTTCGCGGCAAAGTGATAGCCAAGACGTGGGAGTGGATTGTGAATCCCATGGACGCCGAGGATGCTGAGGCACCTGTTTGAAGCCCGAAGCTGGACGCTTGAAAGTGATATCGCTCCTTTCGCATGGCGGATGCACAAACACATACAAAGACACATCTCCACTCATGAAGCTGGACGAGTCGCGAGTGGAAAGCACAAGGGGGCGTATTCACGCCTACTCGAGCCAAGGAAACGCTCGAGAGATCCTACGACACACCCAAAGCACAGCACGAACGGCATTGCAAGGCTTGCGATGAACAGGATTTACATAATCTAATTGCATCCGCTAGGGTGATGAGGGGGTGCGAAGCCAATAATGGGGTATGGCTTCCAGGGTTGCAAAGCGGCAGTGCTGTGCACAAGCCCATTGCGGTCCACGGCAAGGCATTGACTGTATTGGCTGCGAACACCGTAGAACTATGATAACAGCGGCCATCGGAGCCCTTCCTTAGAGATGCTCCTCAGACACAAAGGAAATAAGATGGGCAGGAGTGGGTTGATAGAAACCCAACACCGCACTGTGAACGGGAAGACGCAAAAAGAAAAACAATGCAATGCAAGCGAGAGCAAAGAGCATGGCCAAGGAAAACGGCAGCAAAAGGGAATAGACAACCGGAGAACAGAAACACGCCACATGTCGTGCTCGCTGCCCGACCGGCCGTCGGTTCTGTGCAAATCACACCAAACATGCGCATTCTGGATAGAATGTGATAAAAGGACTCTCAAACAGCAAGAGAATATATAAAATAGTAAAAGCTCGACATGAACTGACCCTTCGAAGCAAACAGACGATAGGAAATGAAATGGTAATCAGAGATAGAATAGTGGGAAAATGCAGCAAAAATTAGCAAAGACCAAACTCATACAGTGAAAGTGAAGTGCAAAGAGCCAAGAGCAAGAACAGGAACAACAGCAGTGCAAACGACGCCGTAAACACCATGCCCATTGTATCTGAACCGAAAACAGAGACGGACTGTCCGGCCGACTGCAGAAAGACAAAAACAAAAGGCCAATGCGAGGTAATCTCCCTGCGAACTCGGCGATCTGTTGTTAAAAATAAAACTAAAAATAAAATAAAATAAAAAACGTATAGCGGATCGGAGGGTCGAGGTATAATATAGAAGTGCAGAGTGTAGAAATGACAGCAGTGGGATGCATAAGAAGGTGGAGAAAGGCGAGAAGGAGGAAGAGGAAAGTACTGGCAAACCCGTCGATCGAGTTGCAGGCTTAACCTTCAATGTGCGACTTGGGGTTGTTCTGTCCCAGGAGTTCAAGGCAGCGCTGCGACAGGTTGACGACCTCGCCCTCGTCGTCTTCCTCAAATTCATTCTCGGAACCAATTGGTCGGTTCGCAATCTGCTTGACCACTTCGACGATCCCGTCCGACTTGGCGATCAGGTTCATCAGCCGCTTGTCCTCGGACTCGAGCAACTGTAGCAGCGTCCATATCGCAATGTGCTGGAACGTCGCGTCGCCGCTGGCAAGGAACCGGCTCAGGTAGCCGTGGATGCCGCCGCTGGGCTCCGGCCAATACTGGATGAACATGGAGTAGTCACCCACTTTCGACGAGAGGTTGCCCATCGCCGCCGCACTGTTGCCCTGCACCTCGATGCTGGTCGACTGGGTCAGCGGGATAAGCACGTCAAAGACGCCGAGGCCGAGCAGGTGCATCTTGAGCTCGTCACTAAGGGCCAAGACAGCAATCGCGGCCGTCATCTCTGACTGCACGTTGACGGGCACGTCCAGCACCAGCTGCTTGCACTTCTGCACGGCACCCGCCTCAAGGACGAGGGCCTTGTTCCGGTCGGAGCTGGCCGCCAGGTTGCGCAGCGTCGAAATGGCGTGGCACTGGATCTCCTCATTGTCCGTCGAGCCCAGCAGCTCCACCAGAGGCTTCAAGAAGCCCGCCTCGATAATGGGCGACTCGTTCATGGGGTGGATGGAGATGTTGCGAATGCACGCCACGGCGGAGAGGATGAGGGGCAGGTAGGAGGATTGGAGGAGGCGGAGCAGGGGCGGCAGGCCCGCCGCGCGGACAATGTCGAGCTGGTACTTTTCGTCGGAGGCAAGGTTGCGCAGAGCCAGGGCGGCTTGGCATTGGACCTTGGGTGACGACGAGTCCATCAGGTTGACGAGCGACTGCACCAGCTTGGGCTCAGTCTGGGACAGTTTCCGGCGGTTGTTGGCGTCGACGGCAATGTTGCTGAGGGCGGTAGTGCAGTAGTACTGAACGTCAACGTCGGACGACGACAGGAGCTGGACCAGAACGGGGAGTGCCCCGGCGTTAACGAGCTGCTGGCGGTTTTCGTCGGAATGGGTCATGTTGAGCAGGGCGCCGGTGGCGTTCCGCTGGACACGCATATCGCGCGACTTGGCGAGGCGGGTGAGGGGGCCGAGCGCCCCGGAGCGGGCAATCTTGGCCTTGTTGTCTTCGTGGGTGGCGAGGTTCGTGATGCAGCCAACGGCGTTGCACTGCACTTCAACGTTAGGGGAGAGCATCTGGCGCTTGAGCGGGTTGAGGCCGCCGAGGTCGACAATCAACACTTTGTTGGCAGCTGGGAAAAATATGTCAGTAACAAAAGGGAAGGCGTTTGGTTTCTGTTCCTTGCGCGGGCCACCTACTGTTCACCGCCAGATTGCCGAGTGCGGCGCTGGCTGCCCGCTGCACTTCGAGATCGGGGCTTTGCAGAAGGAAGAGGATAGGTTCCAGGGTATCGCGGTCGACTTCGCGGACATCTTCAAAACCAAAGCTGTTAGCAAACAAAGGCCCTGCCCCTACCCAATGCGGAACGCAAACTGTCGGGAAATCGTGGGGGTCGTCCTACCACGCTCTGTGATTTCGGCAAATGTCAGACTCGCACTGCGTTGCAGGTCGATGTTGTCGGAGTAGACGAGGGTGGTGAGGGCCCGGAGAGGCTCGCCAGAGAAGAAGTCGGTTTCGTTCCGCTGAAAACGGGGAGGTCAGCATGATACGAGAAACACGCACACATCCAAATAAATCACGGTGATAGATCACAGGGCACTTGGGCGTACGTTTTCGAGGTACTGCAAAAGGTCTGCTACAGCCTCACGCTCGCTATCCGCGAGGACGGGTTCGTACAGGCCATCGCGGGATTTGCCTAAATTGAATCGAACAGAACAGAGTCAGTGCCAGAAAATGCAGCAAGAAATGGGACGCGCGAGCCCCACGCAGTGACAAAAAAACTCGTACCTCCGCAGCACTGCGAGCTGCAGATGCCCATCGCGGCGGTCGTTTGTGAGTCGAAGCTCGAGGGCGATGGTGCTGTACGCAGAGGGAGACGGTTCGAAGGGCCGATGAATAAAAAGGATGTCGCGATCACAGATTACGATCGGGTGGTCGAATGCAAGGCAGCGATTATCAAGGCCAGTTGCGGGTTCTGGATGGAAAAGAATGCACAAAGGAAAACGAGTCGGTGTCGGTGTCGGATGTCGATGTCGATGTGGCAAAGGTTGAAATGAGGTCTCGCCTCGATCGTGACAAGCTTTTTTCCGTCTTGGTTTTGTTGCTGACTGCCTTCGACGCAACAGTCGCTGGCGATCCCAAATAGCGAAAACCCCGGTTGGGTGCAAGGCGACAAGGAAAGGAGAGCGAAATCAAAAAAGGACGACAACACGTAAGGAGCGAAGGCCCCAAGGAGAGTTGGAGTCGGAATAAGGCGAAAGGGGACGTCGGCAGGGATGGAGTTGGGAGATGACGTGTGGGTTGGAGAGTTTGAGTGGTGAGAAAGAAGACGGTGTGTTTGTGTGTGTGTTTTTTTGGTTGCCTATGATCCCGGGGTTGGTCGCCTGGGTTTGGCGTGGTCGTGGGGAATGAGAAAGCGAGGAATTGAAATGGGCCTTGGAAAGGAAGGAGCGAAGCTGCAAACGAGGCAGACGGGGCAACTACGACGAGGCGACTGCAGGGGCGGTGACTACGAACGTAGACTGCTCCTGCCAGAGCAGCCTGACCGCACTAGCGCGCTCGGGTGCTGCGCGCAGGGCAGTTACCGCTAAAACAGCTGCCTCATTTCAGATTCAAACAAGCTTGGCTTCAAAGGGAAGGCACGGGACTGGTCACACTGGCGACAAGGGCGAGCCTGCTCCATTTCCGAATCAGGCGCTGTGGGTCCTCGGTGGTACTTGTAGCCAGGCGCTGATCTGGGCAAAATCAATGTACCGAAAGCTTAATGCCCTTTTTCGCAGCAAAATAGGCGCTAACCATGGCTGTACCGACGAAGCTTTTGCAAAGCATTGCTCTTTCTTTGGTCACCGTTGTTGTGATCCAGATGATGCATCATTTGCGCCTCTGAAGAAAGAGCGATTCATGCACATGGCACCAACGGACCACGGTCACGTGAGACAATAATACGAGAGGCAATTTGTCGTGTCGGTCAACATTCACAATACGAAATGCTGTTGCAAAGGTAAAAAGGGGATGGCATTCAATCTATTAATTACCAGATACCAATTTTAAATTTGAATCAATTTGCAACATAAAATCAAATTTTCAAAAATCAAAATAAAACGAGCAAAATTCAACAAAATGTGCGCAAATGTTGGAACATGTAGTCGCCCAAAAGAGACCTACCACATAAAAAGAAAAAACTTTATAAAAAATCAACACAAAATAAATGACACATGAGACACCCTCTTCCAAAAAGACATGGCTCCAGATGCAGATTACATCAGACATTTTGTCGTGAAAATGAAAAGTGGCGGCCGTGAAAGGGAATACAAAAAAGCCTTGGGAGAAGAGGTGGACGAGAGATGATGGACGGCACTGCCTCATATGTGACGCTGTTTTGCCCTCACAGCGGCTGCAAGTAGTTGCTGGGCACCAGGCCGACCTGCCCATTGCCGTTCGTGTTGCCGTGCACAGTCGCCTCCCACCAACCATCGTCCTGGTGGCGCAGGACGGCCAGAATATCGCCCTTCGCGAAGCCTAACTCCTCAGGAATGGCGGCCTGGTAGACATACAAAGCCCGTGCTAGTAGGGAGATACGTGTTAGCGTGACTAGGACCATGTGAAAGGTCATACGGCTTATAAAAAGACCCAACGTCATCTTACCAAAATGCATAATCGGACGACCGTCGCGCGTGAACTGCACGTTCTCGCCAATGCTCTTGCTCCGTGACGACCGCATCGAGCCACCACCGCCCTCATAGAGACCCATGGCACGCGAGTTGGAGTTGCTAGTTCCAGGCCGGCTGGTACTACCACCGCGGCTGCGCTGCGACCCATAGCCGTCGTCGCCTACATAGGGCGACTGGGCACGAACGTCGGCGCTGTTGTGGTTGGCCATGCTGCTGCGGGGACGGCTCGGCTGCTCTGTGCGGTAGGGCGACGGGGACGCTGCACGCGACATGTCGTTGGGCGAGGCATGCCGAGAGTAGTACTGGTCGGATGCCCGGTTCGGCGTCTGCTGCTGTTGTTGCTGACGTGATGGTGGCCGGCTGGCGTAAGGGTTGGGAGACGCCGACCGGTGATTCATGCGCGGATCCGGCCGCTGCTGCTGCTGGGCTGGCGCTTGTTGTTGTTGTTGTTGTTGTTGTTGTTGTTGTTGTTGTTGTTGTTGTTGTTGCTGCTGCTGCTGCTGCTGCTGCTGGTGCATGGTGGCCGCCGTTCCTGGCCGCGGCGACGCACTACGTCTCGGGGCGGGGGAGGCGGCACGAGGCAGGTCGTAGCTGCTGCGTGTGCCCTGCCGTGCTGGCGAGGTACCGTAGACACCGCCTTGTCCGGTACCACCACCGCCCTGCTGGTACTCGTTGCTGGTTGGCTGAACATGCTGCGTGTCTGCTGTGCAAACTTTTGCGACGTCTGCTTCATGGCCTTGGACGTGACCGCGGGGGACGGCACACCCAGGCGCTGGACTTGCTGGTCGTAGGACGGTGGTGGCGTACCGCGCATGCCTGCGGCGACAGCGCTGTTCTTGGCGAACTGGTTGGCACGAGCCCCAGGCGCCGGTGTTGCGATGCCGTGGTAGTGGTCGGCTGAGACCCGTACAGAAGCCTGCTTGCCCAGAGTGACGCCCTTGAGTTCTGCGAGTGCCTGGGCAATTGGGTCGTCCTCGGCCGCCTCCGGCTCGCTCGTCTGCGGCGCGTTGCCACTGCCCGCATGGCGATCCGGTGTCGACACGGCAAAGACGTTCTGGCCCACATTTAGTGCAAGGCTGGCGTTCGCGTCAATGGGATCAGGGCTGGCTGTCCGTTCAAGCTGCATCAGCTGGTGCTGCGACTGCTGGCGCTGGTGGCCGCCGCCACCGTAGACGGATGCACGTGTCACATTGTTCGGCGGTACCTGAGCCTGCACCTGAGTTGAGGCGGCCTGTGGGTGCCAGGTGTTTCTGTGCGAGGCGGCGTTGGAGCTCGTCGAGATATCCTTGGTACTCTTGCGGCGGAACGGACTGTGGTTCTGGAAGAAGCCGCTCTTCTTCTTCATGGCCCTTTTCTCGTCGACGGGCATCACGGCGCTGGGCGGCTCAGCCTTCACTGGTGAGACTTTGCCGCTCGGCAGCTCTTGGCTTGAGTAGGGGGTCAGGTTGGAGAAGTCGCTGTGCGAGTCGCGGCTCGATGGGCGGCCGGATGTAGCCGCGCTGTTGGAGCTGAGCTGGGACCCGAGGTCCGACTGCGGCCCGCCATTGTTTGTGCGGCAGAGCATGGTCATGCCATCCAGAGGGTACGGGTCGTGCGGAACGGGTGCGAAATCGTTCGGGTCGTAGGGTGGTATATTGTCCTTGGCAAGCTGTTGCTGCTGCTGCATCTGACGCGGCGTGGCCTGGCTGGAAGTGTCGGGGTGAGGCGTGCGCTGGGCCACGGCAGATGGCGCTGCAGGCTTGTGCGGGGTGGTGAGCTCGATAAGCTCGTGGCCCATGTCGCGGGCCAGAGCCGAGTTCGGGTCGTGGTGTGACTCGTAGGTCGACGGCTGGGGCGAAGACGTGCGGTACGCTGGGTTGATGCTGCGGGGGAACTGGGCGACGGAGTAGTCGTCCTCGGACGCCTCAGACTGCGAGTCGAGGTCGCCGCGGCAGAAGTTGATGTACTTGGGCGGATCGGGGATCTCCTGGCCGGTGCCCCGTTCACGGATGAAGCTGGCAATGTCCTTCTCGACCTCGAGCTTCTCCAGAGCCAGGCGGATCTTCTCGCACGATGCGTCGTCGCTAACACAGACCGTGGACGAGATGTTGGCAAAGGACCACAGGCTGCTCTTGGTGAAGTCGAGCCGCTCCTCCTCGAGGTCCTGGAACTTGTCGGCGGCGGCTTTCCACTCGCGGTTCCAGCGGGCCGTCGTCTCTTCGAGGATCTTGACGGCGTTCTCATACTCGGTGTTGGACGTGGCAACGCTGATCTGCGTCTTCTCGAGCTTGGCCTTGTTCTTGCGCTCCTCCTGGCCCATGACCATGTGGCCTTGGGCGAGGTAGCCCTTGATCTTCAGGCATTCCTGCTCGAACCGGTCGCGGGTCTGTCTTATTAGATGATGCTTTATATTGTACACACACACACACACTGCAGAGAAGGTGAGGCAAGCTTACTTTGTTGACTTGCTGCGTCTGCTGCACCTTGACCTTGTGCAGCTTCTCGATGCTGTTCTGCACAATCTTGCGGCGCTCCTTCATGGCACCGGCAAAGGCCGCCAGCGGCTCCTCGAGCTCCGTCTTCATCTGTGCGGCAATTGACTGGTGCTGCTTTGCCATCGACTCGACTTCGCCGCGCATGACGTCCAGCGACAGCTTCACGCCGCCCATCTCTTGCGACCCCAGCGGCTTACGGCAGAGCGATAGAAGTTTGCGGGCATATTCGTCTTCGATCGAGGCTCGGGCTGTGCTTGTTAGAGTGGGACGAGATCCGGTGTACTGCTGTTGCTTATCTTGGCAACGTCCACGTACCATTGTAGAATGCGCGCAGCTCGTCGCATGTCTGCTTGGCACCGGCCATGCGCTCGAGCAGAGGACCGACGCCAGCATCGTCCTTGCCCCAGAAGTTGTTGGCAACTAAAAGCATCATAGATTAGTCTTTGGCCGTCGGGTACATCGGCGATATGAAGCCTTCGTCGACCTACATGACAGGGCCACAGACGGCCCGTCGGTCGCCGGCGTCAACATCGTGCCGGCAGCCAGAGTCGCGATAGACGTTGTGTAGAGGTCGAAGGTATGTGTCCGTATCAAGTGCAGATGTCTCAATCAAAAAGATCTGTCGATATAAAAGTCAACGGTCGACGATGCCGCCTTGACGATGTGTGCTCTCGTTCACTCAGAGCCGCGTTTTGCGTGAAGATCGGTTGGAATGCGAGATTTCAAACGGGATATGTAGAGCAGACAAAAGGACTGTCAAAGAGAATCGAGAAGACGGCCCAGCTCATCTAATATCAGAGAACCACAGGTAATAGCAGCCCCATTGTCACTGTGTACCAGGGGCTGCGGCGGTGTGGGTGGCAGTGACGCCGATGCTTCCCAGCTCGGACATTGTTGACTAGCGCGTCGCCAGGGCAACTGCGACCGGCCCCGCAAATCCTCTTAATTGAATGCGCCGTCGCCTCAAACCGCGCGGCTCGCTGCGCCAGAGATGCGTGGGAGCACGAGGCCAACTTCTCGTTTCATGTCGATTCTGGCTTGCCAGTATTCCGTACTTTCAAAATCAAGTTATCAAATGCAAGCATCTTGTGACTCGACGCAGTTCTTGCCTGGGGTAAACATAGAGGAGCTCTTTCCTCAGCTTGGGTGAGCCAATCAAAGGCAGGCGCATTTTTTGCACGTGATGTTGTGACACGTGACAAACCAAGCAAAAAGCCAGTACATGCTGCTCTGCGTCCGCACAGCGTTCCCTCTGGACCGTCCATCTTGTCCAATATTCTGGGCGTATCCTCTCGTTGTCTATGTCGTATCCCGTCGAAAACGTCCCTTCACGCCGTGAAGGCAGGGAGATGCAAGATTGCCCTCCGCCCTGTGCAGCCGATCTGGTCGCGCACAGGGAAGGCACCGACTGGGCCAACAAGCTCCAGCGGCAGTTGGTCCAAGCTCCAGGCCAATAGCGGGCTGACAGGTGAGGTTGCCAGCTCGCCAGGTACCGAATGAGGCTAACGCCCTAGTGCCTTACTTTCCAGGCAGAAACGCAGAATCTTAGTAGGGCGCGGAAGGCGCGCACAGTGGCTGTCCCTCCGCAAAAGCCCCTATGCGGCAGGCGCACCAGCTACGCACAACTGGCAGTCACCACCCACCCGACACACTCCAACAGCCCGAGCCCAAGCCAAGCCTAAAGGGAAGACCTGCATCGACCTCCAAACCCCCTTCGCAGAAAAATTGAGCCAAACGTCCGCCTCATCACGCACTCTCCAAACCACCTCTCTTCCACACGCGCCCGTCCCTCTCACCCTCCTCTAGCCGCCATCGCCACCGCGTACCTCCCGACCGACACACTCGATTCTGCTTTGTTTTCGTTCGTGTACCAATTTTTCACATCGTTTGACGGGTATTTTATTGATTCCCACCGGAGCAACCAAAAGGTAAAAAAAGGCACGAGAAAAGGCCGAGAAAGCGAGACATCACACGAGGGACACGAGACGACCCCCGTCGCTGGCCGTCGATTGTCGAGTGTTGCAGCGGCCATCGCGCGTGTGCTGCTGTCGCCGGTGGTGGAACCGGGGCTGCGTGTCTTGTTCCCCTCCTCACATCGGTCCTCCACCGTGACTCCTTTGGACACATGTATGCTAATGCCGCGACCTAGCTCCCTCCGACAGCAAAACTGCGACCCGATTCCGTCCCGCGAAGGCTTCTGTCTGCAGAGTCTGCGACTGCGCGTTGCCATCCTGCCGCCTGTCTGTCCAATCGCTTTCCCGTTCGCGCTGGTCCGTGGTCTTCCTCGAGCGTCATCTCGATCAGCAGCGTTCATCACTATTCTTTGCATCTCCATCTCGTCGCGGTGTTGATACGTTTGTGCGTTTGTGCATTGCACTGTCCATCGGGCCCTGTCCATTCTCCTCCTCTCTTTTTCGTGACCGCCGTGTCTCGTTCTCCTCGGCCGCTGCATCAGTTTAATATCGACTGCTTCTCCGCCACGCCTCGATCGCTGCCTTCGCCTGTCGCCGTCCTTCCGCCGTCCCCTCCTCCTCCTCCTTCTCCTCTCTCTTTTCTCTTCCGTCGGGTGAGGAAGTGGCTTCTGTCCGCCCGTTGGATTGGATAGTAGCATATCTTCCCTTCACACCCTCGCCAGACCTCCCCCATGGTCCCACCACCTCGAGCGGGAACGTTTTCTCCGAGTCCTGCCCAATCGCTACATACGGGCTCTAGCCTTTCGCCGCATCCATCTCAAAACGCGGCTCTGGGTGGCAGTCCCGTCACCGGCAGTCCGACCGGGACGAACAACGTCTCGAAGATTGTTATTGCTCAGGTGTATGTCCTCCTCAGCAGCCTGAAGGAGGAGAAAGTCGACCATTCAAAGTGGGACCAGCTACGAAAGGTTTGTTGCCATTGCCCTTGTGGACTCTTTTTCTTCTTGTTCTTTTCTTTGTCGTTATATCGCTTGCGATTGCGTGTTTCTTTCCCTGCCACAACTCACTAACCTCTCACCCTCCTCCAGCTCATCGATGAGAACGGCATGGACGTGTTTACCAAATACTTCGCCCGTCTTGTAGCTAGTAGTGCATCCCAGATATTCCCCGGCTTTAACCGGCCGGGGGGTAGTCCGGGGTCCTACCAGCTCCTGACGACGGAAATGCAAAAGATCTCGCACAAGCCAGACCAGGCCCGCAACATTGCCGAGTCCATCGAGATTGGCACCGAGGAGATCTTCCGTGACTTTGATCTGTCGACGTTCATGGAGCATTTCAAGCTCGATGCCCTTGAAAAGACCATCCTAGCCCTTGCCTTTAAGCTTGGCTCCCGTTCCGATCTCAAAACAAAGGGTGAGTTCTGTCTCGGAGGATGACGCGCCGGCAGCCCATTTACGCCTTTTTGAGTTTGCATAAGCACATACTAACCGTCCTCTTCTTCAGCCGACGCCATCCTTTCGACAAACTTCCCCACGTTTGTCAACATCCTGTCCAGATCTGGCGGCGATCATGCCGATGTCGATCCCAGCTTTGTCTCCCTCATCGTCGACCGATACATCCAGCTCCACCCTCCCACCTTCACCAACACCACAAAGTCCGATCTGTCTATAAAAGTCGCGCAACGATACGAGAACGAGGAGCTGGGCCCGCCGCCTGCGGTCCTCGCCGCTCTCGACCTGATGCGCGTCTTGGCCGACCGGCCCGCCAACGCACTTGCCAACTTTATTCACAAGACCGGTGCCGACTTCACCCGCGATGAGGACACCGCGCTCTCCTACCTCCAAAACCGCCAGGGACAGACCACTGAAGAGCAGGTCGCCCATGCCTTGACATACACTGCCGTCAGCCAAACATACGCTTTCAACCCGTCGGTCCTCGTCGCTGCGCTGCGGCGCTTTGTGCCGGCCACGTTCCAGTGGCAGGATGTCATCAGCAAGTTCGACCAGCCGGGCGCACGCATCTCTGCGCCCCAGTTCCTTCGCCTCTACAACGCGCTCGCCCCCATTGCCCGCGACGACGAGACGATCAGCATTGAGCGACTATGGGGCGGCAGCTGGGAGAACCCCGACTCCCAGCTCTCCTTTGTGTACGCCTACGCGTCACAGTCGCCCGACGACCTCGATGCCACGACCATACCCAACCTCCGTTCCACAATTGCCATTGACGAGTATGCCGACGCCGCTCCCGAGATCCGCGAGCGCGCCGCCGTTGCCGCCAAGCACCCCCTCGTCTCGCTCGCCGCCGTCTCTGCCATTGTCCATATCGCCCTCGCCTCCCAGCACGCTAGCATTAATGTTGAGGCGCGCAGGTTATTCCAGGCGGTGGTCATCCCGAACCTCGATATCTTTGTTGTATCAGCCGCCATGGTCCCCAAGCCATGGCCGGTCACCGCCGCCGAGACTTTCACGTCACTCTTCGAAGGCTTTCTGTATAAGCGGACAGCAAACTGGGACTTTGTGTTTGATAGTCTCTGGCGCAAAGACAGACAGCTGCATACAGAGCAGCTCATCAACGCGCACGCCCTGCACCCCGGCGACCTCCCCGACATTTTCGAGCACTGTGCGAAGCACGGCTGGCTGAACGACCTCGTCTACCTGCCCAACGGATTTGGCCTCGACTTGGTGGCATACGCCCATGGTCAGGGGTTTGTCGATTTGACGGAGTGGGCCAAGAACAATGCAGAGCGGAACGCCGACATTGCTCGGCCGCTGTTGCAGTTCCTCATGATAAAGTCGGAACTCGAGGCCCAACGGCCCGACGGTCAGCAGATTCAGCCCAAGGCTAACGTTCCCCTGAAGGTGCAGACCGTGTCGGCCCTGCTCAGCATTCTGGAGGACTACTACCCGACGACAAGCCCCAGCCCAGACCTCGTCATGGTCCAGCGCCAGTGCATTGCCGTTTACCCCCGCCTCATCAACTACGGTGAAGGCTTTGACGACGTCATTGAGGAGAGCGAAAAGGCTGGCCACGCGCTCCCGCAGGAGGCCAACGCCAAGATGGAGGAGCATTTCAAGAAGATGTACAGCAACGAGATCGAGGTCCGCGAGGTCGTCCGCATCATGGAGCACTACAAGCACTCGCGCGACCGGCTCGAGCAGGACATCTTCGCCTGCATGATCAACAGCCTCTTTGAGGAGTACAGCCACTTCGGCGACTACCCCCTGGAGGCGCTGGCCACCACCGCCGTGCTCTTTGGTGGTCTCATGTCGCACAAGCTCATCTCAGACTTGCCGCTCAAGGTCGGCTTGGGTATGATCCTCGAGGCCGTCCGGGACCACCAACAGGACCACCCCATGTTCAAGTTTGGTATGCAGGCGTTGATGCAGCTCTACTCCCGCTTCCGCGAGTGGCCGGGCTTCTGCCGCCAGCTTCTGCAGTGCAAGAGCCTGCAGGGCACCGAAGCTTGGAAGAAGGCGAGCGATGTGGTCCGCGAGGCCGAGGAGGAAGCACGCGGCGCCGGCGGCCACGACGAGGCCCTCACAAACGGCAACGGCGATGACGACGACGGCTCTGAGCAGCCGCCCTTTGTCTCCATCCACGTCGACCCTCTTCCACCCA